AAACAAATTGCCAGGATAACAGAATACACACTTGTAATATAACAGCAGTTAGAACATCTAGACACACATCAGAACACCCCCCCTTTCCTTTTGGGAAGTGATAAGGACTGAAATGAATGTCTGCAGGCTACAAGCAGCCCTACTATTTCTGGTAGAGACTGACTTACTGCTACCCGGAAAATCTCTCCCAGGAAAGGGTACAGAAACCATCAGAAGTATTCACCTTCACCTTCATTTCATTACCACTCTGCATTTCTCTCAGGCATCCCAAAACATCTAGAGATGCAAACATAAACGCTAGCAGGAAGGACTTCATTTGCAAGTTTAATTAGAGGGCAGTGAAAGCCTCTCTAATTGCTTGTTTCATCAATGGTAGCATGAGGGTAAGCCGCTGTTAGTAGGTTGTGGGCTTTAGTTTGTACTAAGCAGCAGCAAGACATTCCTCCTGGAGTGCAAAAAGGGAAAGTCAAGTTTATTCAGCACCAAACAAGCTAGCTAGGTTTCTTCTACATTATGTGCTCACCACATCCATTTTCTGCCTTCATTTTTGTGTTTATACCAGGCTGTTCTGCTGAAAGATCCCTGCTGAGGCTCAGCAAGATGGGGATCATGCTGAGTAGTGGCTCATCTGTCTGCACAGGTGGCAGGGTATGGATTCAGAACAAGGTAGATATGCAGCCTGCTTCAGAGGAGCACCACTACCAGAATCACCTCTAGGACATTAAGTTTGCTAATCACTGATGCATGACCAAAGGAACAGCAATTAAACAATGCATAGAAATGGAAATTTTTTTAATTACATCTGTACTACACACTCAACACCAGCAAACCCTGTGCACACAGTTCTGCTTAGTAATGTGAGAGCTTATTTATCACCATCAACTTGCTAAGCAAGGATGAAAGCAGTGAGTGATGAAAGTACAAGAAATTAATTTGAAAGTCTGATGCAGGAAGGAAGTTTCCACACCACTCTCTAAAGTGTTCCTTAAGAAGCACTGATGAGCAGAATGCAGCTGAAGAACAGCGTTCCGAAGTTCAGGAAGACTGCACTCCTAACAAGAGATATACCTTCAAAGATGGTGAAACACAAGGAGGGGCAAATGATATTTTTCCTTCAGCACCAATGAGCAGAGTGCTTTGCTGATGGGCACCCTTCTACTCTGCTCTCATGAGACCCCACCTGGAGTACGGCACCCAGTTCTGGAGGCCCTAACACAAGAAGGACATGAAGTAGGAACAGGTACACAGAAAGGCCATGAAGATAATCAGAGGGCTGGAGAGCCTCCCCAACAAGGACAAGCTGAGAGAGCTGAGGCTAATCAACCTCGAAAAGAGAAGGCTCCAGAGGAAGGGACCTTATAGTGGCCTTCCAGTACCTGGAGCAGGCTGACAGGAAAGCTGGCGGGACACTTTACTAGGGCAGGTAGAGAGAGGATGAGGGAAAATGGATTTCAACTGGAAGAGGATACTTTTAGGCTAGGTATTAGGAATAAATTCTTTACTTTGAGGGTGATGAGACACTGGAATGGGTTACCCAGAAAAGCTGTGGGGGCCACCTCCCTGCAAGCACTCATGGCCATACTGGATAGGGCTGTGTGATCAACCTGGTCTAGTAGAAGTGTCCTTCCCTATGGCAGGGGGTTTGGAACTAGATCTTAGATGTCTCTTCCAACCCAAACCTTTTAATGATATTGTAAAATGCAAGAGGAAGAAACACTTAAGGCCCGAGCACCTTAACTTCACAGTATTTAGAGCTACATGCTGGAACCTATCTGGTCTCACATCAGCCTACATGCCTGCTGGGGGAAGATGCTTCACTGGCAATCAGGCTCAATACAACGAATGCTTGGAGATGTTGACTAACTCATTTGTCCCCCACTGAATGAAGAGGAATTGAGACCTCTTTCCCCCTGTTTCTAGAAGTCTGTTGGGGGAGAAAGGAGCACAGACAAAAACAGAGCCAGGGACAGAGCTGCCTCCCTGCACGTTCAGCACGGCAAAGAAGAGGATGGGGGTTATATATTGGCAAACAGATCCGATCAAAGATTTTCACTGTATGAGTGCCTATGGGGTTTTTGTCTCAAAATGAGTGAGGGAAAAGTACTTAGAATCAAACGACAAGAGTGCTGTTCCATTAATAAGGCATTACATTTACTTTCCTCTCCAGCCACTTTAAATTATCACTAAGGAAGAGCAGGAGGAAAAAAAGAGGTATGTGTTCTCACTGTGGCATTCAATCACATGAAGCAAGATGCGTCAGAAACCCCACATAGAGGCACATCACTCCAAAAATATTTGGCACTACTAGTCCCAATCACTGCACATCATTCAGCTACTCTGATTGCAATTTTAAGTAAATATAATGCTTTCTCTGATAAGAACAGCTCATATCTGCATATTAATGGCGCAGCATTTCAATCTCGACCATTTAAGCTCAAAATTCACACCCACACTTTAAACTTGGTCCTCTAATATATAATGAAAACCCAACTGGCTGCACAGCTGTTTCTATTTTATTTTATTTTTTTTTTTCTACTGAATCCCTTTCTAAATGAGTATTTACTTGTAATCCTGGGTAGAAACTTCTGCTGGGAACCAAAATTATTTCTCTTCTCTGCTCTTCAGCCACTATCTAGCTTGCATATTCCCAAGAATTTTTTGGAGCACAGCTTGCTCTTGTCTGAATAATTACATACTTGTCTTCAAAAAAAAAAAAAATGGAATTTCCAGTGCAGAAGGCTGACTTGGAGCATGTACCTGCACCAAAAGTCCCATTACCTCCATGCGACATCTGTAGGGATGCTTAAGGGAACAACGGGCTCTCAGCTTGCTGCAAGAATTCATTCTCTCCTCCAATGTCATGAAACCAAAGGATCAGAACTGCATCTTCACAGGCAGAGCCACAGCTGAGCAAAGGCAGAGGAGGCTCCGATTCCCAAGAGAAAGCAGGAGCTGGACACAGGCAAGAAGGAAGAGGTGCAAGAGGATTCAATCCGTCAGGTCCTGCTCTGCAACTTAAACCTGAATGAGGGTCAGTCCTGCAGCACCTTGAGTGCTGCCTGGCAGGGTAACGAGCATTTGTTTTAAACTGAAGCCCACAGCAGGCAATAAGATGAGAAATAAGAGTGCTATCAAGACAGATCAATCTGCTGTCAGCTCTTCTTTACTGAGGGAGAGCCAACACCAACCTACTTCATGCTCTCTTCAAATGATTGCCTCACCTGGACATAACCACCACCCTAACAACCAGAGCCAGCTTTAGTCAGCCCCAAGGCACCTTTAAGCAAACAGCTAAACAAACAAGAGTCTGTCTTCATTTTCAACACAGCAAACTGCTTCTAGAGCATTATTAGACTGTGGGAAAACAGATCCCGGGATAAGGTAACAATGAAGACCATTATAACACCCTAAACCTGCTGCCTCACCTTCAGATCATCCAAATCAGAGCATACAGACATCCAAGTGCAGCACTGACCCCTGTAAGCTGCTTAAAACTGTTTCTCTGCTCTAGGGGTCAGAGGAGGTGATGTTTGGTACATCACACGCAAACATGTTCTCAGTTGAGCCCTCAGTGTCGAGTCTCAAAAGAACAAGAAGCTGAGTTAAGAAAACTGCATCCCTTTGCATCTTCTACCTAATTGATTGGAAATGGTTGTACAGTGCTCAAGAACAGAACCACCAGCACAGATTGTGTGGGTTTCAACATTCCTTCCCTGCAAACCTTGTTTATGTAAAACCTAAAGAGATGAATGTGAGAGCTTGACAAGACAAAGCAATGAAAGCAGTATGATGTAAAACAGACTGCTACAAACCAGGGAAAGAAACATTTGGTATTTCACAGAGAATGTGTACTTTTTTTTAGATCACAAAAAGCAGACATCATAGTTGTGTGGAGGGGAAGAAAACAAGTGTTCACAACACACTTCACTTTTATGCATCAAAACAGCTGCCAAAACACTACTGTGCAATTGTCTGTTTTCAAGTCAGCTCCCGCCTTGCTGCCTGGGAAAGCAGAACATTGCACAGCTCAGATGACAGGGACCCCAGGTATTTGATCACCTTTATTTACCTTTCCCTACCAAACACAATACAAGGCGGGGAACTGCATGCATTCAGCCCACATGGTGTTTATGTAAGTCTTTAAATGCAAGTTTCTCTGTCAAGGCTTCCTAGAAAAGCCTAACACATCAGGTACATCACTTCAGCAAGGAGGGGGATCAGAGATGCTTACTGCCCTTTGGAAAAACAGAAGCTTTATTTTCAGATAATGCAGATGGAATGAAAATGTTGCTAGCAGCCAGGGTAACAGTATGCGCCCACAGTGAGGTAACAGAAAACTAACCTGCATTGGGTTAGTGTGGGCTGGTAGTCCTGGGGACAGAGTTACCTCCACAGTGGGGTTTAATCGGGTCTTCAATTTGCATAATAACAGGTAGGATGCCACATGCTCCATTACACAGGCAGACAAAACTACAGAGTATGCTCAGTGATTTACCAACATGTTTCATGTCAGCACAAACATCCAGAACAGCTGTGTGCCACTGTGGAAAGGACCTAGGGGTCAGAAGGGGAATGAAGCAGAGGTATCTCATGTGGGGGGGGTGGGAGGGACAGGGGAAGGTGCTTGGGATGCAGAAAGGATCAGGTGTCCCCAGGAACCTGGAGACAAGCTAGAAGGGAAAGGTCAGGTGAGATTTCCCTGAGAAGGCACAGCTCATAGGGCTCACTCATAACAAAGCAGCAAGGAAAAGTGATTACAACATACAATTTTCTGGCATACCAGTACTTAAGAGGCAGCAATATTTTGACTGTAAACAGGACATCAAGCTCCCTTTGAAATGCAGTAACTGAATAAGAAAGTGAATATCAAAAACACTACAACACTATAAAAGCTAAGATGACAGTACTTGCACTTACACCTAGGCACAGTTACTAAGTACAGGAGTCTAGGTTAAAAAGCCTTACTGAGTAGTTAGACTGTTAAGTGTGTATGTGCTCACCTTCCCATCATAGCGTTTCACTATAAACTGATCCAGCCCCAGATCTGAAAAAGAAAAGAAGAGTAATTACAAAAAATGTTCTCAGATGACATAATCAAGCATTTCTTGGGCTTTCAGATACAGTAGTGATCAAGTAGTAAAACAGTCTAATGTAAAAGTGAAAAAGTTATATTTTCTATCTTCCTGTATGCACATGTATTTTGATCACAAAGGACAAACAAAGCAACAGAGAAGGAAACATCTATCCAGCAGGGGCAATAGCAGCTCCCAGCACTTCCCATGGGATCCAAAATGCCCACCCCAAATGTGAAGACTTCTGGTGTGCCAGTTGGCAGAGATCCTGCCCACAATGCTCCACGTAAATGCACATTCACAAAGCTTGTCCTTAGTAACATCTTTTGAACAATACACTAATAGCAAAATGAAGGATTGTTCCCATAAATGAGAAATACTCATACAAATCCAAACCTTGTTTATGTTGTAGTAGAGAACTGTTCAGATGTAACCAGATTTTAAAGGCAAAGAGTTGTAACTGCATTCACAAGTGCTTTAACTAGAAGGGTGCTTTGGAGAAAGGCATAAAGAGCTTATGTATACTAGGAAATTCCCACTCCTACCAACACAAAGTACTTGGCTATCCCCAAGTGGGAAAAACAGCATTTTCAGAAAGGGGGAGCAGAGGCCTCCACCATGCATCCTGTGCATATGAGCAAGATCACAAAAAAATTAGTCAGGGAGGTTAATTTGAGCTTTGTAATACAAATCAAAAAGGTGCATCCTGTGAAGATAAAGCAGAGCTTGAACCAAATGCTTTCAGTAGTTCAGGAGCACGCAGGCTAATTTTCATTTCTCTAAAGAGTAAAACCCTCTAAATAGCTACATCCCATGCATTTTCTGGGACTGTTTATGATAATTATCACATGCTCATTTCAATTTAGATTAGAAAAAAAAGGATGGAAAACAAAATAAAATCTCTTCTAGCTCATTTGGAGGAGCAGCACGCAGCCTGCTGCATCACCTGCCTGTGAAGGAGGGTGGCAAAACACCTCCCATCCACTGAAGAAGCTCATAATGCTTACAGTGCCAAAAATGAAGTTATTCATCACTCCAGGGCAATCTCCTCAACCTTCCTAAGCCAAATCAGCTACAACTCCTCTGTCACCAATGCCAAAGGCAGAGGTGGCAGCCTCTGGGCCTTCTGTGTTGTGTGAGTACTCAGGGCACCTTCTCACCATTTTGCATGTCCAGAGGAAAAAAAATTGCACATTCAAGAACTTTCAGAATGCAACCTTCTCTTCTTCTGATGAACTTTATGTCTGAAGTGACAGGATAAATAGAGCCATGCTGAGAGGCAGGTTTTGTTTAATGCATGCGTTCATTTTGCCAGAGAGGTCACATAGCTGGGGCACAGCCCTCCTGCACACCCAGATGCTGAGCAGGAGGGCTGTATGCCATGCATTGCAACAAGTCATTTCTCCTCCACACCTCATCTTCCCATGCCTGAAAAGAGTGCTTAAGACACATCCCTAATATGTACTCAAAGAAAGCTATAAGAGGACACAGGGTAAAAATAGCAGGTGAAAGTATGCCTTAATGGCAAACTGCTCGCACTTGTCACTGCTAGGAAAGCAAACAGGTTTCAAAGGAGACCCAAAATGAAAAGATGTTCAAATATCAAGGAAAGACCAGCTGCTTTGATATTTACAGGAGTTTGTACTTACATATATAGGAAGTTACTAAAAACAGCGAAATACCACCTAAAAAGACATGCCTAGTATGTATGCTAAAGGAAGACACAAATAATATAAACTCAGTGCTCTTCACAGGTGTAACACGAAGTGCAAAAAAGGAAATTCAAAGGGGCTGTGACTGGAGGCAAGTACAGAGCACCACAGAAGGGACAGCAATAGACAGCAGCGGAAGAGTCAGCAACAAACCAATGCATGGAAGTTCTAACTGCAAAGGATTGGCCTCAGGACTGGTTCAGCTAGCACAGATGTTTGCTTTCATGCATTTCCCTGCTTGTTATTGCACAGCATGGGAAACAAGAACATCCAGGTAGCATGAAGTTAACCCTGCAAGAGACACACCTATGGCTTTCTCCAACTCCATTCCAACATCCAAGCTGCCAGGTCTGTCCTCAAGCTGCAGAGCTCTGAGCACGTCCATATTCATTGAAGAAACTGTTTTCAGCATCACAGCTGCTACAGAATGGTGACTGCTTTTATTATCTGCATCATGTCAGGGTACTTCACTTCTGAAGAGGCCAATAACTTTGTTTTATGCATCTCTCAATGATGAGAGATTCACATGCCACTTTTGTTGCCCTTTTTCATGTTGCTATGTCAGCATGGATTGGAAGAAAGCCTTACACACAAAAGCACAAGCACATTGGCTCACAGCAGTTCATTATGCTCACCTCGCCTCCCAGCCACACACAACCACCCTTCTCTGCTGCATTGCCTATACCACACATTAAGTTCATCTGTAACATTCCCAGGAAAGCTCCTGACTAAGCTAATTCAAGCACTCTAAAAGTTAAGCCCAAAAGGCATGTGTATGTTCAAGGCATACAGCTTTATTTCATACATTTTTCCCTTCTTCGAGTTGTTTTTTTTTAAATGGGCTTAGCTGCCTATTTTTCCACTACACCTTAATCTTGCAGGCTGACATAAGGAAACCAAAAGGTGGACTTCTGCCTGATGTCCATATTCTTCTTTCTTTACATTACATGCAAAAAACAGAAGCCCCTTCCCAAGAAAACTTTAACACAGAAGGAATTCAGTGTACACATACGCTGTAAAGCTAAAGTGAGAGCCAGCAAAATGGAAAGGTTGCTGGAAGGAAGACCAATGGGAACAAGGAAAGGTAAGGGCATTAATTGTTACATTTCTGTGATCCAAAAGGCAGCGTTCTAAGCTACAACTGCTGTGAAATTCTTCCATCTCAGCCTGGGGCTGCAAGGAACTCCTGGCTCGGCTGCTGCCAAGGAGCTGCAGGAGCACAGTGCCTAACAGCAGCATGACCTTTGCCACCACTCTCTACAAAGCAGAGGCTGGAGTGCCATTCTCCCAGAAACAGATCAAAGATTTCCTCCAGGAAGTGACCAGGAATTGTTTCAGGAGGTTCCCATGAGCCATGTTGCTTCATTAAACCTCTCAGTTGCTGAAAAGCAGCAGCTCAGATGCCACCAGGGCAGCTCAGTTCCAATGCTTATTTCTGCTTAAAACCACCAATGCGTGAGCCACAGGAAACCACCAGGAGCACCTGATGCACAACAATTTCTTTGTACAAAGAGCCTTCAGCAAGTTATTCAGCTAAAGTAATGGGCTTGGACTCCAGAGAAGAAAAATGAAAAAGGCAACTCCTTAACACAATGAAAAAACCCACAGTGTTGCTTGAAGACCAGCCCAGCATGAACCCATTTTGCAGGCCTTCTGTACTTCTCCTGCAAAGTCATCCCATGCCAAAGAACACCCACAGCTCACATTGGCTTGATCTCACTGCAGCTATTTTAGGCTCCTGAAGGAAACTCAGAGCTACGAACCACCCCAACCACATCTTTTACTTACGTGAAGCACTGTGCAGCAGCTCACTCTTTGCCATACCTGGGTTTCAAGGCTCTTTTTGCTTACACAGCCACAGGCTCTGCACCAGCCATTCACCCTCAGGAGCAGGAATGATCTGCAATGACTTCAAAACCTGCCTGCCACAGCCAGTCTATTCATGGTCCTCAAGTACCACTGTACACCACTCCTACAGATTCTGATGGCATCTGAAATGCAATCACAGAACCAAAAGAAGCAGCAGTGCTGCCACAGGGGAAGCTAATGAAGCAGCATCACCCTAACTGCTACTTCAAATTAGATTGATACCACCCCACCACTAATTTCAAACACGTGCTGCTCCACTCTTATTTGCTTGACAGTAGATTTCCAGCACTAAAAAGAAAAACGTTTCAAAGTAAATCAAAATGACTTATACTCTCTGCCTGCCACACTGGGAGAAGACCATTCAATAGGAGAACTGTAGTTGCTGCTTTCATTTGCAGGTGGGAGGGAAGTCTCATGGAGAAAAAAATATTGCTACAAAGAGAAACAACCCACAGAACAACCCGCTGCTACTCTTGTTCCACTCTAGTAAAAAATATGAAGTCAAATACTTTTCTATTTCTATTGATTAATGAACACGTACACACCACAGGTTCACTCAAAGCTAGCCATTACCATGCTGATAAGTATTTGAACAGTTTCTAAGCTCTTCACGTTATCCTGGAAAGAAAGCCATGGGCAGCAGATCATAGATCGCAGTTTTGAAAGGTATTTAACAAACAAGCTTCCAGAAGAATGGATTTTCTGTGATGTCAACAGCTTTCCACTGTGATGGAGCAAGCTTTCAGCTCTCTGGTCCTTAAACCCTCATCAGATTTTCCACTGTTTGTGTAACAGTCATTCAATGGCTTTTCCTTTCCCACTGGTTATCACGACACAAACTCTTCCTTGCAAGCAGATGAGCAAAAGGGCCAGTTAAGAAGAATGAAGCACACAACATGCTACATTAGGAAAGGATAAAATACTGGACCGAGTTTTCCCATCCAAAGCCAAAACCCAGCTTTGGTTGTTTTTTTTTTTTTTGTTTTTTTTTTTTTTTTTTTTGCTGAATTTAAGATGCCTAAGGTTTGTCAGAGGACACCAACCTTGGGTATACACTACAGTTAGGAACTGTTTTGTTCACATGCTCTGATGTATGCACTCATAACATAACGCAAGGGGAAATGGTCTTAAACTAAACCTGGCATCTCTTGTTTCCTCTTGGGTCTTAGACATCCTTGTTGCATACCTTTAGGTATCTATACAAGCCTAGGGAATCCTTCTTCTCACTATAAGACTGAGAGAAAACTTGTACAAATCTCATGTTCTACAAAGCAAGCGGTCATGAGCTGTGACATTTGAAATCCAACCCAAAAGAACTAATAACCACACTCAGTATTGTAGCAACTCAGAATCTATCTCATGTTCAGCTGCTCACGTTTGCCAAGTACGACAAATCATTTTTAAACCTGAAATCGACCTATACAGTCTGAACAACAACTTCCCCCTTGCTCCATGCAAAGTTTCAGAGGATTTCTTCCAGTGAGGCCACAAGAGCTCCATCACCCTTCAAACATTCACACACCAAAGCACTGCAAAGCATGAGGAGCTCTGCTACACACCAGAGAAAGAATGGTGAACCTCCTAAGTCCGGCACCAAGTATTTCATTTAGTGACTCTACATACATCAAAAAGTGATACTGTATCTAAAGGTCTGTTGCATTAAGCTGATTTTTCCTCTTTTTATGTACTTTGTTACATAAGTCTTTATATTTTTCACAAATTCCACTCTGCAGAAGCCTGTACACCAATGCTGCAGTTCTGCCTTAGAACAACACGGCCTCAGCCAACAACCTGGAAGAGCTCAGGACAGAATACAGCAGCTCACTCTGTTCTTCACAGCTCCTCTTCTCCAACACCATCCTCCTGCCTGCAAACATTACAGGAGCACAGCTGCTGCTTTTGGCAGCACATTCCTGGTTTATTGCAGACAAAAAGAGAAAAACATTACAGGGATTTCAGGTTTTTGAGCTGCTGCAGTGTATGGTGGATCTTGAAAGACATCTATTACGCAAGCAGGAGTCTGCATTAACTAAGGATGTTAATATGGATGGAAGAACAGAATTGGTTTGGGTACAATCTCTGTCTCTCTCTAGTGTGCTGCCATAAGACACACAGGTTTTTTCCTTCTTCTAATCCTTATAACAAAGACAAAGAAGCAAATGAAGGCAGTGGGATTTCCACAACCCAGCCTAGGCAGTCCTACAATGAGCATCACCACCCCCAGGCACACAGCCAAGGTGTGAAGGCACGGGATTGTGTTACTGCATGGGACGAGAAGGTTATGGCTTTGCAGCACAAACCCAAGAATACCACTTGCAGAATACCTCAGGGTCAGTAGGACTGCAGAGAAGCCCATAATTCGGTTCAAGCATTAGCCCATGATTACAGCCCATATGATTACAGCCAGCCATGTGACTGCATGAGGAAGATTCCCAAGGAGAACCCAGGGATGAAGGCAGGATGCTCCCACCCAAGCGGAGGGCACACCTAAGTCATGACTAAGGGAGAGAGCAGCCTCAGCACTTCCTTAATCACCTATAATCTAGATTACCTTATGAGTCAAAAGCACAAAAGAAATGTTCAGTGCAAAAACAAATCAGCCAGCAGGTAGCAGTATGTCTTAATGAAATTTCTGGTTTTAAAAATCAGATCTCTCATCTTTTACAACCGGCTTGTAAAACACTTGAGAACAAGGTTATGGCTGGTTTGACTTTACAGTGGCACTAAACGTTTTATTTTTCTAGAGTTCATTATGTATTTAAAAATCATTTACCACGATCAGCACTCATAAAGAACAAGCAACCTAGCAGTAGCTTAGTCTGTAAGCAAATGCACAACAGTAATAGTCCTCAAGACAGATCTTCAAGCCAACAAGATTAAAGGCTGCCTACCCCCCTGCTTTACCCGCTGATGGGCAGCCAAGGCCCAATTTCTCTCATTCCACTTTCCAAGAGTACCTGTATGACTCATGAATGTAATTTTTTCTCCTTTATAGACTTCTTTGTGGCACTGACCGGCAGCACTTGCAGACTCCTAAAAGGCTGTGATGAGCTTCAAAGGGCCATTTGAGCAGCTCACCTAGCCAGAATGATAGTTACAGCATAAGGTTAGCTGCTCGTAAGACTGACAAATTGTTCACCTTGGTTTGTCTCCAAAGCAGATGTTGCTGAGCACTTCTTCACATTTTCTGCGTACACTTTAAAATACACCAACAACTTGCATTGCATGGAAGTAGAGGAGAACGAGATGTCTTAAAACTAAGCATTGGATGGCTTCTATTTTTAATCTGTCTGAGAAAAAATAATTTAGATGGGAAGACTCACTTTCAACCAGGTGCTACTGCTTTTCAGAGCACTAATTCAAGGAGCTTCAGATGTACAAAATAGTAACAAATTCAGTAACCATGAGCATTATATTCTGTTTATTGCCCAAATTACTCCAGCACCAGTGAAACCATGTTACTCATTTAAAGAACTACAGCCATTTTCAGAAGTTACTGAAGACATTAATCTAAGCACAAGTGTACAGGATTTATTTAGCAGCTGTCACATAAGTTACAAAAACATTTTTATAGTTGGTATATAAACCCCACTCTGAAAAAGTTAACATTTGGGGATTGAGGCTCTCCATTAATGCCTGCAGTTGGAAAAGGAGTTTCCTCCTTTGAGGTGCACTGTGGGAGAGTAAGCAACTTTCTTTCCTACAACTCAGCCAAAATATAAGTCTCCTGCAAAACAGAAGAGAAAATCTCCCCAAACCCCATAAAACTCAGCCTCTTACTAAATGCACAGAAGAGATTTTCACACTAAGAAAAAAACAAAACACTGCTCTTCACCCTGTTGCCTCCCAAATCTCTACAGGTGCCACAACTGATGTGCTTCACAGCAAACAACACGGAGCCTGGAGCAGGCAGAGAGGAGCCCCACCCCAGCCAGCAGCACCACAGCCCAGTCAGGCACACAAGGCTGCCTGTACCCCTTTATGCATAAGATTCTCCTTACCAAAGCACCTCCTCCTACATGTTTAGGTACTGATCTGTTAGTGTTTCAAGTGAAAAAATTCTTTCACTATTAAAAAAAAAGGAAGCTATCTCTTCAAGGGCTAGTAATAAAGAGATCTGATATACTGCAGTAGTACTTGAAGCAACAAGAAAGAGATCAGGATAATCTTGTTTTTGGGAATAGAGTAGGGACAGCTAGCTTCAGGAGCTGCTTTCTGCCCCTAGAAACACTGGGTTTAAAACTCCCAAGATGTGTACTGGGATCAACACTTACAAATCTCAATTATTACCATTATTTGGGAATACTGCAAGGAAACCTTGCTTACAAGCTTACACAGACGCACAGCAGGCTCTGACTGGAGCAATGAGCACAGCTTGTGCACAGCGGAGCTGGTAGCCCTCTGCCATACTCCTCTGCTCACCACTCCTCTGTTATCCACTTGCACTCCATTGCATTACCATAAAGTGTGGGTCAAAAAGAACTTCTTTACCAGGGCAGTACATCAGGCACTAGTTAGAGAGCAACCTCCTCATTTTGTGCGATGCATGGCAATATAACAAGACATGATAGGCAACATCAGAACAGTTTGACAGGGAATTTAAAGATCAGGTAAGAGGCTGCAGCTTACTCCCTGTTGCTGTACTACACACACACACACACACACACACACACACCCACCACTTACTTTCTGGTTGTTTCTCATTAGGTGTTATCGATCTCACGAAATCCTGCGGTGTCATAAAAACCTCAGATTCACCGTGTTCATTGATCACTTTCAAAGTGGCAAAGTATCGGAAGATTTTGTCTGGTGTGGAGTAGGCTCTGATCCGGTTCTCATATTCCATCACCTGGGAAATAAGTTTAACCAGCATTAGATGCACAGTTTCACTTGAGACACCAAAACTAGGAGCTATCATTAGACTGTTGAAGGTTTTGCTACACTGCAACAAACTTGGGTGCAGCAGCAACACATCTGAAAAAAAAAAAAATAATGCTGAAAGGGTCCAAAATATCCCTCCTATGCTCAGCTTCTGGGCCACCAGAAAAACTGCAGGTTATCAGCTTGATGTCACAGGACTAAGAACAAACACTATGACAATTAACTAGAGGAAAACTTTGCTTCCCCTCCGTTATGAAGTACAAGGTGAAAATAATCCTGAAGACACCTCAGTATTCATCCTAAACGTAACAAAGCACCAATAGCAAGTTTGTTAACCTAAAGCATCTCAGCATTTTCAACCAAACTCAGTGCTGAAGGGTGTGACTCCTGACTGGTGTATGAACTGATGGAAAAAAAGCATTGAGATGGAGAAAGGATCTCCCATTGAGATGGGAGAGAATTCCACTTCCACACTGCGAACTGGAAAAAATCCCTTGGAGCCACAGCTGTTAGCTAAATCACTAACCTTTTTTTCCTTCTTTCCTACCACCTTGCCTAAAACCCACATTTGAAATGTTCCTCAATCAGCCCACTTGCTCATTTGTTTGTTTTTTGTTGCCAGTAGTGATTTTGTATCTAGAACTATTTTCCCCCAAGTGTACAGCTACAATTAAAGAAAACAGAAAGCTTTTATAAACAAAATCACTCCCTCTGAGAAAAAAAGGCACGAAGACCCACACTCTGTTCCATGTTAGAGCAGACGGCTTTCTTTGTTAGTTTGGCTTTTCATTTCTGCATTATTATAAACCATGTTTAGTCTGTTATGTACTTGAAGCCTTCAGTACTTCTGGTCAAGAGCCACAGAATAAAACCAACAATCTGCTGGAAGACACCAGGCAAGATCAAGGGTACTGCCAAGTCATCTGTAGATCATTTACTACTTTGGTCCTCTTTCAGCTTTGTCCTTTAACCTTAACAACATTTCCACCCTGGTGTTTATCAGAAAGAAAGCAGCCTCTATAATCTGTCAAAGGGCTCATAATCCCCTGCCCAGGGAGCACAGAGCCTTTCCCCAGCACATGTTGTAGCTCAGCCCTCCAGCACCCTGCACCAAGGGTATGCTGTGCTGACAGCAAGGCCCACCTGGCACCAGTGGTGATACCTGATGTGGCTGTGACATTATCTTAAGCCCTCCTTCCACTCTTCCTAGCACCAGGACAGCTAGATGGCCACAGCCACCAGGAACACAAAAACATCCCTACAACTAGTTTCCTTCCCTGCAGCCATCACAGGCAGTTCACAGAACCTCTCTCTCACCTCTCCCTTGCCTTTGCACCCTACAGACTTAACACAAAGTCCTCAAAGACAGCAATACTGGATGGAGTCCAACTTCCCTATTGCCTCTATACCTGTTCTGAGATCTTCCTACAATGCTTCTCAGCAGGTCTGTGGCTGCCAACTACTCTTGGTTTTAGAGCACAGGTCTTGCCACTGCTCTTCCCCAATTGAAGGTACAAAGCCTGACAGTTGCCTCCTTAAAGGAGGAGAGTCACTGCCAATTCTCCTACCCCTGCCTCGGGGAAATCTTCAAGGCCTCTGCTTTACTGCAGCGAGGCAGCTTACATTCTGCATTTGTTTCAGGCACAGCAACTTTCCAACACACCACTGAGGTTCCACACTGCATCCTTAAGACCATCACGATCACCTCTGGCAAGAGAAGCAGAGTGCCCCTTTACTACAGCAGCCCTCCCATTCCACCGACACATACTGCAGAAGGCAAAGCTTCCCCAACTGACTCCCAGGCACTCATGAGGATACAGTTATGAACACACAGCTTGAGAGCAGAGAAGATTCCACTCCTTCAAATGAGCTGCTGAACATCCCTGAACACAAGAATGCAGCAGGTGGAGAGCTGACCATCTTGTTTTGGATTCAGCCAGAGGAGTATCAGACAGCAAAGAAGCAAATGTAAGGGTTTTCTAATGGCATGTCTTCCTGAAAACATACAAAGAATGACTTTGAATAACTCAATCTGGATCAAAAAGTGTCCTTCTAACACATTTGTTTAGCATCCAACAGGCTGTTCTCATCACAACTGCAATCACTTCTTCCTTACACTTCCCAGAGAAATGAGCAAACGCAGCAATACACCAACCCTGCTGCCTACACTGAACTCCCCATCACCTCACTGCAGACACATGATCTCACTAACTGGCAAAAGCTAACCAGTATGCTGTACAACCTCTGACCACAGGGCTGGGCTGATCACAAAGGCAGCTCCAGAAAGGAGTGGCTGTGATCTGGCAAAGGGGAACAGCTCCCTTATTCAAGATTCTGGAAAGCAGAAAGCAAGCATTAACAAGGATGCCCTGCCTACGACATATTAGGTGTGTTTTTCCTTCCCAAAGGAGAGAAAGAACATTTATGTATGCACACACCCTGTTTGTGAGGTTTTTACACTAATTCTAAACAATCTTGACAAAACTATCCTATTCAAGCCTCTTCCCACAGCTCTATTGCCAAAATATTCCAGGTACACTCCTGGCAAAGTACACATCCATATAAGCTTCCTTCCCCTGTTCCATAGAACCACAGAACTGTTCGAGTTGCAAGGGACCTTTAACAGCCATTTAGTCCAACCCCCCTGCAATGAACAGAGACACCTAGAGTTCCAGCAGGCTCTGTCCAGCCTCACCTTGGGTTTCTAGAGGAATGGAGCACTACCACCTCTCTGGGCAACCCACTGTACTAGCCCTGGATGCAGTGGAGACCAGCCAAAAATGGTAGACTTGTCCCCACAGAACTTCAGTCTCCTGCAGCAAGGGGCCCCCAGACAGTATGCAGCTAGAAAGGAAAAGTCCCTCTTTGGCATTTCTTTAAAGAGCACAGAGAAGACAGATGAGCTAGTAATCCCTATTGCTTTACAAAACTGAAGCTGCTGTTGAGACTGTCACATTTATGCTAAGCCTTGGGTTAAAAGGAAAAAAAAATCCCACACAGACACAAAAATAAAGCTGTAAATTAACATCTCTATTCACTTCCAGAGCATCACTGAGGCCTCCCTGACTACAGAGAAAAGGATCTCTGGCAGTCCAGCTTCATTGCACACCCCAGGCACACTAACAAGGTAGATTAATTATTGTTTGTTTTCATGGAGTTTCCTGCTGTAACACACACCAAGTCTCTGCAGAATTACTGCTCCCGAGGCAGCATACCTGCTGGACCCAGCAACTGCTGTACACAAATCTCCATAAAGCATGGAAGATCTCTAACAAATAATAAATCAACCTGCTTGTGTGATGTACAACCTGCTTGTTAACCTCTGAATGATGAAAGCCCTTAAACCACCTTTTCCTTTTCTGCCCCACACAGCACACACCACAATGGCACATGCTCTGGACGAGTCACACCAGCCCTACACCCAAAGATTTGTACTGCAGTTTCCTCCTCACTGAATCTCTGTCCAAAATAGCAGTGTCACTTCTCATCTATTATTTCACCGCTGATCTGCTTCATTAGAAACAACACTGGGATAAGAAACAAGCATTGAAAATTAAGCTTAATTGAAAGCATTTTTCTCAAGTTAAACTCCCACGCTATTTTCAATTAATTACATGAAAAGCTGGGAAATTTTTTATTGCACTTTTGCTTTTTGTTTTACTGAACATACAGAAGAGCCAGGCGTTTCCTGGGCGCTACACCCAACTGATGGGGAGCAGGATGCCCTGGGAACAGCCCTGTGTGAGTCAGGAGCTGGGCACACCTTCCTCTGCCATCAGAACACCCAGACAGACTGACTCACTGCTCCAGCACCAAGCACCCACCCCCACTGGGTCTGCTCAGCCACAGAGCGCAGCGCCTGGGAGGCCACTGTTCCCATCCTGCATTTAATGAAGCAGAAGCAAGACCAGCACTTGGTTCAGAAAAGGTACACCTGGTTTTCAGGCTGGAGAGAAAAGGGCCTGCAGTTGAAAGATTGTGAGATCTGTTTTAATCTGTACTCTTCCCACTGAAGCTGCTGCTCCCAAGTCAAGCAGGCTGCACGCTGTTCCCAACATACCCCTTTGGAACCCTCCATGCCTGGCTCCTGTCTTACTTGGAAGCACAGCCACATTCCTCCTGCCTATTATGGGAAGGAAGGAGCTGCTCAGCACAGGCACTGTCTCCTAACAACTCACTGAAAGTCCTAGCTTGCAAGAGAATGTTCCCCAGCTTCTTCAGCCAAAGCAACAAACCATATAAGAGGGATCAATCACTACACTCAATATATTAAGACGTGTTCTTTCTGAAAAAATAAAAGCATGTGTGAAGGTGAATCAAATTTCTGCTCTTTGCAACCTGCCTCCATCTGCCCACAGTGAAGAAATAATCTACTTTTCTTGAGTGGTACTGGCACAAGTGAAGCCTCTGCTGAGGCTGTCAAGCTACCTGACCATGAATTGACAAGAAAAATAATAAGAGGAGCTGGGAATTCATATTCCCTGGACAATTCTGAAAAGCTCCATGCAGTACCTTGCAACATAAATTCAGACCAGAATGTCACAACAGGGAAAGTTCACAGCACCAAACATCACATGGCAACCAAAACTTGTGTAATCTAATCAAGAAGAGAATAAGATTCAGCAGCCTCAAACAAAAGTTACAGCGCTTTTTTTGGTTGTCGTCTGCTTTTTCTGGTTTTTGCTTGTTTGTTCTTTTTTATGAAAAGCTGTTAAGCTATGACTATCCACAATTTAACACAATGTGATGCAGCCTCCAGAGTAAGGACTTAAAATAATCACCAGAAACAAATTATACAGAGAAGGAATTGTGAAAAGCATATACTCCCATTGTCCTCTTTGGCACTGCAGAGATATTAAATCATCAAACATAGCCCAATAAAACTGACATCCAGACAGGCTTAAAAAATAAAATACTGCAGCCTGCCAACTCTCAGTTACAGGACATTCCATCAGGCCAAATTGTACATCCTGTAATAACAGCATGCTTACAGATAGCACCAAACCAGGCAGACACTTCTGAACAGCCCAAAGCTCTTGGGATTACCCACCAGCAAAAGCAGGTCACAAGCTGACGATACAACTCATTACTCAAACTTTTCTCCTCTTAAGAGCACATCTCATACGAAAATTAAATAGGCACAGCAGACAAACGGGATGCTTGCAGGTTTAAAGCCATTCACTGGTTCCCTATTCTGCATTCACCACCCCAGCAGCTATGAAGCAGAGAGCCATCCCTCAGACATCCAACAGGAGGGAAGCAAAGGGGTGCTGAGATTCAGAGGCTCTGTAAGCTGTACTTCCCAAAAAGGCAGGTTTAAATTTCAAGAAACTCAAAGGTATCATGTGAAGAAAGGAGGTTCCCAAAATAGAACGGCCATTTTAGAAAACAAAGACAAGCACAGCCCAAAAGCCTGAATGTCAGTCAGTGCTATATTAAAGATGAATAAAGTGTTCTGCAAGTTCACCCCATTTTTCCACTGCCATGCAATTGCTGCAGGTTTAATATAACATATTAACATAACCAAGTTTCTCACCTTACGATCCCTGAAGCCAGAACACTTCTTCTTCTTCCCTTCTGGCTGAGACTGCTCACTGCCCGATGCCACGGCCTTCCCGCCCTCATCGCTCTCCCCCTCCTCCTGGTGCTTCACCTTCCCACCTGGCTCTGCCCTTGAGCCCCGGTTCACAGAGTCTTCTGCATAGGCCCTGCAGCGAGCAAAAAGAAAACGCAGTTCAGAAAGTTAATGAGAGGACAACTGGGAAGAGCACACCGCCATTCCTCTAGCCCTAAATTCCACCACTTTCCCAAAAAAACAGAAGGATTCAGAAAGAACAGGATCTCCATTTCAGCACAGCTGATGCTTTTTTTTTTTTTTTTAAATCTCCAACAGTCAACAGGCTTTTTTATTTCTCTCTTCTACCAACTCCTCTAAATCCCAATATTTTGGGATCTGCAACAACAAAAACTGGAGTTACTTATCTTCACACTAGAGGCTCTCTATGGACAGGACAAAGAAAGGACCCTCTCTAATGTCAGACAAGATCATCAGCAGCCCTGTTTGTAGCCAAGGCACTACTCAAAGTCTCACTGTCCAAGCAACATGCAGAACAACCAGCTAACAGCGTGGTTAAACAGAAATACAATCCACCCACAGACCAGACAAGGCCACATCTTTCCTACACCTTATCTGTAAGGCAGTTAATAACCAGAGCTCGGACCACATCAACCATCAATAGGGTTACAATCACTACACACGTTAACTTATCACAAACTTTGTAGCTAACAGTTTGGTTAAACTTACCCTTTCTGAGGGCTCTAACAGCTAGGGCAGCCATCCCAGCCTGCCTGCAACTCCAGCTAAGGTACCATTACTTCTGTGTTCCTGGGGATTTACTTTGGACTAATCACACATACAGGGCTCACACACAGCTGGGTGCTGCTCATTAGACAGCAGCCAGCAAAGGAAGACTGGTGCTTTGTGCTCCCTGCAACCACAAACATGATTCTTTATAACTTGTTAAAAAAAAAAAAAAAAAAAAAAAGCTGCCTTTTGAGGAAAACAAAAGCTAAACAGGATTTTGGAATCCCAAGCTTCAAGCAAAAGGCTCTGCTTGTTTCATCCTACCAGCTTCCCAACAAATAGACACCGTATGCAAAATAGATAGAAGCATATACACCTCTCCAGCAACACAGAGCTTTGCAACAACCTCAGCAGGTCACATTCCAAGAAGAAACAAAGCAGGTTCTCCTTCAATTAATTTAGACATTACGAAGGTAAACAACTCTCTCCTTACTAACATTCAATAATTCACTAAGTTATAGTATAACATTAATTTCTAAGGGCCAAACAACTCCCAAACTTCTGCCATGGGAAAAACTTACCCATGGAAAACAAACAACTTTATAGAACAAGCTCCCATAGAGCGTGCTTCAGAACAGAGAGGATCACTATGAAAGCAAGCTAATTTTTGTTCATATTGTGGTAACTACTGCAGCAGACTACCAAAAGCACTCCAACAGCTGCCACCAAGTGCCCAGCACTGCTTTGAACACAACAGCCCACTATCCTACAGCTGGGTAAAGCAGTTCAGAGAATTCTAGTTCTGAAGTGGGATGGAATACATCAAATATAACATTGGAAGAGCTTTATTTAATATAAAACACACAAGAGCTTGGTGAAGAAGCGTACTAATGAAGCCTCTTTGCACAAAAAGGAGAGTAACGTGCCAGCCTATGCTTCCTGAAAAGGTCCTGAGGCTTTAAGTATCACCATCTTTAAGACTTCCACTGTACCACATCTGGTTCCAACCGCACAGCAGTTGGACAATGTGGGGAGCAGACCAGTGAGCACACACTGTTTCTTCTGGCCAATGCACAGCTGGCTCCAGCTGAGACTCCAGCAGCAGTGCTAATGAGGAAAGCCCTTCTCTGCAGGCAGGACATCAGCCCCAGGCAGCTCAAAGAGAATCCCTTGCGACAAGGACCTGGGGACAAAAAAGCAGTAAAAAATGATTGCTTGTATATACAGCTAAGCTACTCCATATTAAACATGCCAGAGGAGAGCTGTCTCAGGAAGATTTGCTCTTGTAACACTTGACTGACAGCAAAGCAGGGAAGGGATAAATAAAACTTACAAATCAAACATTTTCAGCAAAACCTACGCGTTCCTTCAATCCATCTTGCTGTCAAGCTAGTTGGCTACTGTGATGCAGACATAGGCTCTTCAAACACAGCAGGCTCCCCATCCTCCCTCCCCCCTTCTAGTTTATCTCAGTAATTAACTCTCCTCTACAGATGGATCACCTTCTCACCATACATGCAAGATGAAATATGAGAATAAAAGCAGAATTTATTGCCTACTTCACAAGCACAGTTGCAAACAGTATCTGTTATTTCTTGCCTCCAGGCCATAGTCAAAACTACTCACCAAATAAGGATCTGCTCGCCACGTACACCTACAGTGAGGTATTTCATGTCCAGCATAATCCCCCTCCATTTCAAATCTTGGCTTCCATCACCTGCAACAACCATTCTGCATCCATATAAAGGAGTCCTTCAGTGCAGACACCAGCACAGGCAAAAGAATACCTCTGTTCCAGAACCACACCTTGCTACACTGCCACCAAGACTCTGCAGCCTCTTTTGGCCACAGCCACTTGCCAGTCGTAACCTTGTTTCCATTCCCCTGCTCAAGTTAGCATGCCAGCTCTTCCAAATCAGCAGGAGTAGACCTGCTGCTACAACTTCTATGCAAAGTGGGGACAAAAGTGATCAAGACCCACTTCACTGCACACCAAGATAAGCTGCCAATCTTCTTCCACTTAGCCTGCTTGTCCTGGATGCAAGCTGCCAGGCTTGGAACCTTCTGGTCTCCTTAGGGTTTTTCCTCCCTGCTGAACAAATTTGAAGGCAAAAAGTATTTCTCACCTACCTAGTACTCTCTTAACTCTTAGAGAAAGCCAACAATCAAGCTTAAGACAGCATTCATCTGCATCAAGGGAAGATCCTTAGTTACCACAGTGGGTTTACTCAGTGCTAGCTCTGCAAATCATTCTTCAAGAAAGCCAAACACACGCAACCATAGGATCTACATCCAAGAAGGATCCTGAAATTTGTACCAGGGACTGGAAAAAGGCTCCAGTTGCAGCCTTCCCATTTAAAGAAGTTACAATCCCTCCTTTTGAAGAGCTTTTCTAGAGTTTCTAGATAAATCAAACAAAAGTATTTTGAAATAACAAAGTTTTGTGCCAGAGACAACAGTGCTCAGTTATTCTAATCCCAAAAGCAGCACACGAGTATTCAGCTACCAGATATTAAGTAGGCTCAGAAGGAGACACGGAATCTAACTAACTTGGGCATTCAGGTGTCAGCAAAGACCTTGCCACAGAACCAGAAGCAGGGGAGATGAATCCTGCCTGACAGATGCACTCTTCAGTAGAACAGAGCCACAATACTCCTCGCATACAAACATCCTATCTGGAGACATCTCTGTGAGGTTTAAAGCCACTTCAGGCTTTCATAATGAAATGCAAGAGCAAGCTTTGTCTGGTTTGGATACGAGAGACAAAAATACGCATCCTCCAATAATGGAGAGACTAAGTGAGAAGCTGTCTCATCTTCAGCTTCACCACAACCAATGATCAGTAAGATACTAACCTAAAATGATGAATATCAAAGCCCAGTTTTTCAGGACTTTCTTTCCCACAGAACTTTTTACTTTTTTACTCCCTTATTTTCCGAAGCATTTAATATTAACACAAGTCAACACAACTAATTTGTGGCCAGAACTGCAATGAAAACATGACAATATTAAGACAGGCTCCAGAGACTAATAATTAGATTGAGGAGATGGCTCGTGGGCACCAGCCATAGCCCAAAATAGATCCAATATAAGGAAACAGCAGCACAGTCTGTGAGACATGCACACCCTTCCTTCCACCCCAGGCAGCACCAGGCACATCTCTGCTGAAGGCCCATTCACAGCCACTGAAGGGGCATTCAAAGAAAGGCTGGACGAAACCTAGAGAGCAGCAGAAATAGTTAAGAGCCCAGAACAGCATGGGAAAACTTGACCTAAAGTCATCAGGTTGCTATAAAAAAAAAAAAAAAAAGAAAAGGAAGACGAGATAACTGCAATATGTATAAAACAGCTGCTGCAGGGTTTGTTGGTCTGCTAAGGACAGGACAAGCAGCAGATGTGCTTTGGGACATCGTAAGGTTAGATATTTGTATGCTAGAGAAAAAGGGAAAAGCATGTGTTTACATACATGCACACCCAATCTGTGTAAAGTGAGGAGAGGGAAGCAGTAGAATCAGCTGTGGGAGAGCATTTACTCCATCTCTGCTCTTCGTTCACCAGTAAATTGCTATAAATAGGCAAGACAGCTGCCTTTCAGGACCAGGCTGGAGGCACCCAGCCTTGTCTTGGCAGCAAACGAGCTGACAGCACACACTCCCTCCCACTCCCTTTACTCTGGGGGCTGGCACCAACATGCAATGCAGATGGACAGGCCAGAGTGCGAGTACCTCCTCTAGAGCCCCCTCTGAAGGAGACTGCTGTGAAGAAGGTGAACCTGAACTGTTTTAGGTCACTCTTACCAGCTAACTCAGCTCATGTAGGATAATATGCCACTCCTCAGAGACATCTTCCCACCAGCCTGCAGAGGAAAATAATTGCTTTGGAAAAGGTTGCCAAACCCTACTGACACGCTGGAGGCATCCATATATGATGTTACCCTCATGAACTGTAAATCTCTGCACCGTAAGTTCTTAAGCCAGGAAACACTGCTTATGTTTCCAAGCAGAGCTCACCAAGTGGCAGACAGGAAGGTGCCCCGGGGTTGCAGCTGACTGATGCACATGGCCACAGCTCAACTACATCTGCCACAGAAAAAAAACCAAGTCCGAAGCCACAAGCCTGTGTTCTGCACCTCTCTGGTGTACTGCTCACCTGAGCCTCTCTTTATCCAAACTGTACTTTAAACATCAACAAGCTCAACAGCTCCTTCCCAAAGAAGATTACAGCTGCTTTCACTCAGTGCTGCAGCTCCCCTTGAGCCTGTCCCTGGGCATTGAGATGGCATGATCAAGAGGGCCAGGTAATCCTATAAAGCCGCAAGGTGGGTGGAGACTGCAAGAAGCACAGGAACTCAGATCAGAGCTGGCATTCCATCCTCCACTCCTGGTCCTCCCAAAAGACAGCAAG